TATCATCAAAGTGAAACGCGAACCCCAAATCTTGACGGATTTGATGAGAATTATTGGAGAAAACCCAGAGATGAGTGGTTCTCAATATATCTGTGAACAGTGGAATAACCAAGTCACCAGAGTACGGCAATTGCAGTGCTTTGAGAATCAGATTAAGGAACAATATATGGACACCAAGAGAAAACAAAGGGAACCAATCTCTCAGTCTCATGCAACACCCCAAGCACAACACAAGAAGAAGGCTGGACCATCACCTGCTGGAACTCCAAATTAGAATTAACAAAGCACAGATATTAAAATGAACGAAAAAGCTGTTACCAAACTTTGATACTCAAAGCAACGAATAAAAATCCATAAATGTACATGTACATACATTTCTTGCCTGTTTTCTGTTGACAGTGAACTCCATGGCAACCTTGTTGTGGCACATTATATTTTGAATTGGCCATATTAGGAAAAATGAATTAATTTGAGGTTAAATGAAAGAAGTGGGGTGAAGTGGGATATGAATGCAAGACCACCGGAATGTTTTACTTGTGCTCTATAACCACATAGCATCCCTGACCCCCTGGCATGTCATCTTGCACTCAGCACTACAAAATATTACTTTGTAGTCTGAGCCTGAAGGACCAAGCCCTTCACTACAAATCACTACTTCTGGCTAGGGTACTTCCATTGTTATTCATACAGAGAACAGTGCAGTCATGCATTCATAGTGCCACAGCACTGTATGGTACTTTCGTTTGGTCACTCACAGGCCCAAGGGGGCATGGGCGTGCATTAGTGACTGAATTTGGCAAGTCCTTATGGTTTCAAGATGTATTTTTTTTTGCGTTGGGGAGATGCTTATTATATATAACAGGTTTGCCCTTACCCAACGTATATTAATAAGCACTGAGCTTACAGTGCTTATTAATATACGTTGGGTAAGGGCAAACCTGTTATATATAAATCCTTGTGTGTTTTATAACACACCTCAAACTAAAAAAAATCTTGTTTTTTTTTTCAGATTTTAACTGTTTTAATNCATTCAGCATTATATTAGGCAGAGTAGGTGAGTGCGCATAAGGGAAATATTCAGAGATCACTTAGACGTTGTTATCGAAGTCAAGTCCGATGTGCGTACGTGTGCGTTGCTTGTGGATTGTGTTTAGGGATTATCATGCATCCAAATAATGACAACGTCTAGCACCTAGACTTCAGTGGGTACTGTGAATAACTATTTTGAAGGATGGATTTGCATCGGGGAGATCTGGTTTTTTTTCTCAAGCTTTTGGGGGAAACAGTAGACAGTGTTACAATATATGCTGGCAGGGCAAAAATCCCAAAATAAGAAAAAGCATGCAAAGTATGGCATATGTGTCATATGAATCCTTATCAAGAATAATGAGTAAGTCAGACCTCTGCCACCTGTTGTGTCTAGTTAACGGAAAACTCTTCATAATTACTGAAATACTCCATGCAGTAGTCATCTTGTGTGTGGTCACAAAGCACCGACCCTGAAGGAATAGCAAATTAGAATTAACAAAGCACAGATATTAAAATGAACGAAAAAGCTGTTACCAAACTTTGATACTCAAAACAACGGATAAAAATCCATAAATGTACATGTATATACATTTCTTGCCTGTTTTCTGTTGACAGTGAACTCCATGGCAACCTTGTTGTGGCACATTATATTTTGAATTGGCCATATTAGGAAAAATGAATAAATTTGAGGTTAAATGAAAGAAGTGGGGTGAAGTGGGATATGAATGTGAGACCACTGGAATGCTGTACTTGTGCTCTATAACCACGTAGCATCCCTGACCCCCTGGCATGTCATCTTGCACTCAGCACTACAAAATATTACTTAGTAGTCTGAGCCTGAAGGACCAAGCCCTTCACTACAAATCACTACTTCTGGCTAGGGTACTTCCATTGTTATTTGTACAGAGAACAGTGCAGTCATGCATTCACAGTGCCACAGCACTACATGGTACTTTCGTCTGGTCACTCACAGGCCCAAGGGGGCATGTGTGTGCATTAGTGACTGAATTTGGCAAGTCCTTATGTGTTTTATAATACACCTCAAACTAAAACAAATTTTTTCAGGTTTTAACTGTTTTAATTCAACTTTCAATCGCACTTCAAAAATGGAGAAAAAAATTGAAGGTTTATTTTAGTGTTCCTTGACACTGTCTTATTTGAGTTGCTATATACTCAACAAGGAAAAGAAACATTCCAGGGTTTGAACTGTTTCAATTCAGGACAACCTTCAGAGGGCGCAATAACCAGTCAAACATTTTCAAGACTAGTACTTGTCTCTGGAATTGATGCACGCATGCAATGTCTAGGCGCGTGTCAAGTCACACTGACTCCAAATTCATGTACTAGTACTAGCCTATGTTGGTGAACCACATGTGACCATATTTCGGCCAACCAGGATAAAGAACTATGAAAAGGTGAGTTATAAAGTATTTTATGGCTTCAGAGAATACTAAGGTCATGTACTCATACAAGCCACAGCACTGTATGCTACATTTTACTACAAAGTAGTATTTTGTAGCTTTGAGTGAGGTCAGGGATAGCTATTCACTAGTACAATCTAGCTACTTGCCGATCATTTCCCATTTTGGCAGTGTATTTACGCCAGGTAGTGTCTTTGTTCCTGACGTTTGAATGAGTATACCTTAAAAATTTCATTGGTAAACATTCTGGTCCAGATTCCAGTACCAGTCCATCTCATCAGCCTTCTCTGGTCCTCCTGGAAGACCTGGAATGCAAACGAAGAGTCAAGAAACACCACAAGCACGCTCACAAGAGGAGGAAACTGGACACTGGAGAAAAAGAGGTCAGTGCTTGTCATCACATTTAGAAGTTTGAAAACTGTGTCACGTTGACTTCCCTTGAATCCATTTTATCAAATACGTGTCCATCTTCTTGCATGCAATAGCGTGACACAACCACGCATTTTAACCCCTTCGCGCCAGGAGGCGGCTATAGCCGCCGTAAAAATTGAGATCCTCAGCCCGCTTTTCAGCTATTATTCTCGGCCCACGCTTGAGCGAACACGGTGAAAGAATACAGACCCTGGCTCTTTTACATATGGTAATTGGTCTTTGTGTGTAGCCCAGAAATGAAAAGACCGAATTTGCATCATAATTAACAGCTTCACAATAGTCCGCACTTTGAAAAGAGGCAATGGGAATTTGGAAGCTTGAGTAGAGCCGCATGCCACCGAACAATCAGCCTTTTCACCATGTAATTCAAAGCATGGAGAGCACGCAGGGCCACAAACCGAGAATCTGCGGTTTGGCAGGTGGCCTTCGTGGCCAAGCGAGGCTGGAAGGGGTTAAGTTCACACAGCTGTGTATATTAGGGCGTGGTACAGGCTTTCTTGTTCCGATAATAGAACACTCTTATGGAATAATGACTGGCTGTTACCATCGAGGACCATTGAGGACAAGGAAGCATCCTTTGTTTTCATTGTATTCTGTCCTCTGTTAAATATGCCCATGTGTACAAGTCAGTGTTGTACGTTGGACTGCATTTGCATATGGAGTATATAGAGTCAGTGATTCTCCAATTAAAAAATGGGCATTTCGCCGTTTTGCAAATCCTGAATTCCACTTCAGAAATTCAAATTCCGTTTCATACCTTAGTAAGCATAGAAAAATTATGCATACATGTACACATGTAAAACTGTTTGCCCGACCTTACTGGTACTCCCCCCTCCAAAAAAAGGAAAGAAAGAAAGAAAGAAAAGAAACGGATTCCTTTGGAAAGACTCCGCAATTTT